ATCCAGCCTCCGTTACCCTTGGGCAACTTGCTGTTGTGACCCGTGTTGACTTCAGGGATTTTGATGCCAAGCTTGGCAGAGTTGAGTTTCCTTTGGTGCCCTGCCTTGTCAGTGCTTCTTCTTTTCTGCGTGTGTGTCTGCGAGCGTGGGTTTTGTGTGTGGGTGAGGACCACGCCCAATCCAAAGAGACGACTAAAAGCAAGGTTCCCCCTTTAGTTAGTCAACTGCAGAAGAATGGTGGAGAAGTCTGTAGCGGTCGTTGTTCAACTTGGTAGGTGACGACTCTCCCCATTTCCTTCTCTTTGGGTGACAACCCTTCGGCAGGACTGATTCTGCACCCCACTTTCTTCTCTTTCTTTGACATTCTGCCTTATTTAGTGTTCAGCAAAAACTAGCTTCCTGAGGAACCAACAAACATCTGAGTAGCTTGAAAAGGGACCTGCCCTTTTTCCTCCTTTAAACTGGTCTCTGAGTGGCTGGAGCTTTGAGGTTGATGTGGTGTCCCATCTACAAAGTCTGGACTGTAGCAATTAGCAGAACTTCAAGAGGACCTGAAAGTCCTCCAAGGTCTACTCCAGCCCTAAGAGTCTATGACTGGTTCCAGACAGAACATGTCATGAATGCACCGTCATCTTTAATTCCACTGCATTCATTTCATGTCAGTCTAGTTCAATTTGATTTCTATCTTGGCTCCTTGACAAGGTCCTGCCCACTGTGGGGAGCGTCTCCCGCCCCAGAAGTGACTTCAAAGAAGTTTAAACTGAAGATGTCAGAGGTGAATTTTTTTTTGCATATGCAAAACAGGCACTTTGCTCTTAGCTATGATCTCAGATTGGGAGTTTATTTGCATCTGTTGTTCTGTGCATAGAGAGGAGAAGGAACGAAGGATCCTTGGTGCTCTCTGAGCTGGGTTGTTTTCTTGCAGATGTTTTATTACCCAACTAGGTAACATCATCAGTGCTAGAAAGGAGTGGGGTTTGAAGAGGAGGAGGAGGAGGACGACTGTGGGGTCCTTGGTGCTCTTGCAGATGTTTCATTACCAAACTAGATAACATCATCAGTGCTAGTCAGCAGATGAGGAGAAAACACACCATCTATGAACACTGACAGTTTGACTCATTGCAACTTCCGGGCACTATATTAATTTTAAATATTTTAAATAGTTTTAACACCTCTTCTTCCCATCGCTCTGGAGTCAGACATTAACAGGGAAATGTTAGAGCCCTGAAAAATTCAAGAGTCAGCAAAAGGCAGCCCGGATATTGCTGTATTTCCAAATAAGTGAATTTTCAAACCGATGCAGTTTTTGAAATGCTGAACAAAATTCCAGAAAATAAATGGTTGCCTCTGAATCATGTCAAATTGCACTTAATTCTTGGAAGCTGCTCACAGCTGATCTCCTTCCGTTTATCTACCTTCCTGTCCAGTCTTGGTGTCCGCTTTCTGGCTTTTGTGCCCAACCCTGGTGGATTCTACAGCCAGCATCTGCCCCAGGTGTCCAGCAGATTCAGAATTTCTGCGGAAAATTCAGCTCCAGATCATGTGGTTGAAACGACCTACTCGAGACTTGTACAAATCCTATGTGAGTAAAGTTGGATTTATTTTTTTTAAAACGGGATTCACCCTTATATCTGGCTGGCGTTTTCCTTTCGAAGCTTTGCGTTTTCTTATTTTCTGCTTTAAAGCTAGTCCTGGACTTACAGCAGTTCATTTAGTGACTCTTCGAAGTTATAACAGCCTTAAAAAAAGGGACTTATGACTGTGTTTCACACTTACGACCTGTGCAGCATCCCGGTGGATACGCAATCAAAATTCGGACACTTGGAAGCAGATTCACAGTTATGGCAATTGCAGAGGAGGCAGTTGTAAGTCAAGGACTAGCTGTATCTGTTGCGGCTTCAGGTGGTCCAACTAGACAATTTTTATATCACTTATTGAGGGCTGAGCAGAACCGTATCCAAGGGCATTTGTAGAATTGTTTAATTGGAGGGAGCAAATAGGCTCCTTGGGTCCGGATTAGGATGGTCAACCACCTGGGAAGCTGTTTTGGAGGAAACAGAAAAAAAACCTGAGGACTTCAGGGGATCCCCTACTCCAAAATCTGGCTCCAGATTCCGGGTATTTACCACTGAGGGCAATGTCATCTGTTGGCAACCTTCCTGTGCCTTCAGCGATCTCAACTGTTGGCCTCCAGATAGAGGACACTGAAGGGCAAGAGATGGTTTCATCATCACAAGCTGAAACTGCTTTGGGTGATGTTCTTCCTGCTAGGCTTCCTGCCTGCTGACTCAAGAGACATCAACAGACACCCTTTCCTCCCCCCCCCCCCGCTCCTCCTCCTCCTTGGTTTTCTTCTGTTTCCAGAATACAGAGTAATACAGTTGGAAGGTCTTCTTCTAGGTCAGTGGTGGCAAACCTATGGCACGGGTGCCAGAGGCGGCACTCAGAGCCCTCTCTGTGGGCACGCACGCTGTCGCCCCAGTCCTGGGCCTTCACCTGGGTTTTATAAAACCTTTTCCCTTCAGGCCTCCGCCGCTGTGTGCAAAAAAAAAATAAAAAAGGTTCAATCAATCAGTCAATTTCAACTTCTCGTGGGGAAAAAAAGATCTTGCAAAGTTGGAATCGATTGATTAAACTTTTTAGTCCCACCCAGTCTGCCGTTACCACCGCAGCCACACCCACCTAATGGGCCACATCTACCCAAAGGGCCACACCCACCTGGCACCCGACGATGCATAAGTGGGTTTTGGGTTGCAGTTTGGGCACTCGGTCCCTAAAAGGTTCACCATCACTGTTCTAGGTCTTCTAGTTCAACTTCCTGCTCAGGCAGGCAATCCTATACCATTCTTTCTCCTTCTCCTTCTCTTCCTCCTCCTCCCCCTCCTCTACCATTGCCATCACCATGCTTATATTTTGCTTTGGCTCTATATTCAGGGATATTACCTATCTGAATGATGCTTTTTTTTTTTCAAAAGGCCAATGATTTATAACTTGCCCCTCTGATTTTTACCCCCAGCTGTCTCACATGGGCCTGCAGGACGACTTGCGCCTGTTTTGCCAGTTGCCCATCGCTTGGCTCCCCAGTAGAAACATCACAAAGAAGCCGGAGAGGCTGCTCTTGCAAGAACTCTACACCACTGTGGTCCGTATGGAGAGAGCTCTGAAGGCCTTGGAAAATCAGCAGGCGGATGCAGAGATGCCTTTGTCCCACCAGCTGGCAACAGTGTCTCTCTCACTCACCGGCCTCCTTTCCAACATCCAGTGTGCTCACTGCTTGAGGGGCCTTCGCCCGGTCCCCATCACGCCTTCAGAATGGACCCAAGACTCCTCGTCCTTTGCTCAAAAGATGGAAGGTTGCCAGGTCCTCTGGAATCTCTCCAGCTTCGTCAGGGGTTTAGCAAAGGTTTTCCAAAAGGAAAAGGTGAAAGGCAAAAGACCCGAAAGGCGGAAGAAGAAGAAGGGAAAAATACATCGCTCCTTTCTCTCGGCAGGGATGCCGTAGAGCGTGAAACAGAGGTGTCATTCAACCAGTCATGTTCGTTGAGTTCAAGGGTTATCCCAGGGCGGCCGAAAAATGGTTTTCAGTGGGAACCTGACCGTTTCTCTCCAGTGATTCAGTAACCAGTGATGCTGCCTGACTAAACCTCTTGATGCTACAAAAGTCAGAATGATCTGTAGTTTGATTTGCACGTGTATGATTTTCACGTTCAGTTTCTGCTCCCAAGCAGCTAACTCCATCGCTGAGGTGGAAGAAAAATTCTACTCTCTTTCTACCCGCCCCACAGTTTTCATTCCATTTGAACTACCTTACCTGCGAAAGAAATTCTTTTCAGGGAGGTCATGTTTGCAGAGGGTGTGTTAAGATTGCACGTAAAGGCTGCACATTTAATGTGGTGGTTGAATTTATCCCTTTTTGATGGGTTCGGGCCATACACGTGGCTGCCCGGGGATGAAACAGGCTGTGCAAATGGAATTACTAAATGCAAACTAAGATTAACACTAATCATGCTATGCATGTTGCAAAAAACATACTTGACCTGGTTAAACATGAAGTTGATGCAGGGATGCGATGTGTGAGAGTTGTTGTTCATTGTCAATGGTTTCATGGTTCGTGGCCTTCCTGTCACCCTACAAAGTAGATCACATCAAGAAATCATAGAAAAGCTATGTAACTTTGTTGAGCTAGGCCAATGTTTGAAAAACAAAAAAAATCTCAGCAGATGGGTGGACTTTGACTCCCAGAATTCCCCAGCCAGCATGGTGGACGTTGGTCCACACATCTTAAAAGTTGCTGAGAAATCCCAAGATAGAATACAGTGTAGCAGTGTTTCTCAACCTTAGACTTCAACTCCCATAATTCCCTAGCCAGCATGGAAATTCTGTTTTTGAAGTCCAGACCTCTGAAATTGCTGAGGTTGCAAGGGATACAGGTTTCCAATTTCTTGAAATTCTTTAAAATCACACATCGTGCGAATTGCTGGTGGATTCTGGGAGCCCACCCATCTCAAAGCATGCTGGTTGGGGAATTCTGGGAGTTGAAATCCATCCATCTCAAAGTTGCTGAATCTGAAAAGATAGGATAAAGTAATAGAATCTTTCCTGATGCTGAGGAAAGATTTTGAGAGCCTCTTGTTGACTTTTTCCAAAATAGGAAACAACTCTCTTGGTTAAGGATAAATCCCCTTCTTGAAGATGGTCAGAGAAACCATCTTTTGCCTGGAAAAACTAGGAGGAGGCGTCCTTCTTGTTCCGCAGCCCACAAATTGGGTGGATCCCTTCGAAAAGGCCATTTGTGCCCAGCTGTTTTCTGAGACGTGTAATATGATTTCATTATTTATTGAACTTCATAGATCCTCGATGTCTAAAAGCCTATTTAAAATGTTGCAATTGGTATTTATATGAAGGATGTTTGTGTTTTGTTTTGGGTTTTTTTGTGTGTGTGGGGCGGGGTGGGGTGGGAAAAGATTGTTTCATCTTTTGTTATCCTGGGCTGGTTTAGCTCTGAGATTATTTCGTCTGGCATATTTATTACTTTGGCAGAACAAACTGGTGCATGAAGATATTATGTTCACTAGAACTGGGTCTTCCTTGCTGGGAAGAACATCCTTTTATGCAAAAAAAAAAAAAAAGTTGTATCCTGTTCCTGATAACTAATACAATTATTGTCATTTGGATATTTTCATAAAATACGTTTTTTTAAAAAAAAAAACATTTTGTATGATGTGTGTTTTTCATCAGCTCTTTAAGGGTTTGATTCACCCAAATGGGGAGATAGGATTTTCTAAGCAATTGATCAGTCTTGGTTATTGCTCTGTTCTCTGGATCAGAGAGGAAAAAATATCCTTTTTTGGAAGGAAGGAAGGAAGGAAGGAAGGAAGGAAGGAAGGAAGGAAGGAAGGAAGGAAGGAAGGAAGGAAGGAAGGAAGGGATTTTTCTTCTCCTTCCTCCTCCACCTCCTCTTCTTCCTCCTCCTCCTCCTCCTCATACCATTTTATCTTACTCTTTGATCTTTACCTACTGCATTTTATTCTATCTTACCTCATGGTAGCTATTTTATCTTACTGTATCTTATCTCTTTTTGTTGTATTTTATTATGGGTGATGCTCATGTTTGATGTGGTCAATTGACCAATTAATAAAGTATACTCAGTCATCATACCATGTGCATTAGTCCCCCTGAAACGCACACCGCAAGGCATGTGGCACTACCATTTTTGTTTTCAATTGATTTTTTTTAAAAGTCTGCTAGCTAGAAACACAGCTGTGGAGGAATTAAAATTTAAAGCACAAAGATTATGGGACAGCCCGAGACCCTGGAATGTGGGTGAGTGTGGAGGGGAGGGGGAATAGGGGTAGAAATCATTTATCATCAAAGAACCGGAAGTGAGGAACAAGGAGAAATGTAGAAACTTTTTCCCTTTGATATGGGGAAGGATAATGCAGTTATTTCCTGCAATCCTCCAGGCAACTAGACTGTTGAAAGTGGGTGCAGTGGAAATAAAGCGGGGTGTTATGGGAGGATAAGGGTGTCTGGGGTGGTGTGTTTGTGCCAAAAAAGTCAGAACGGTGGCCACAGTAATGTGACCAAACCCTTCGGTGTAGTGGTTAAGGTGCTGGCTAGAAACCAGGAGAGGGTGAGTTCTAGTTTTGCAGCTGGGTGAGACTTTGGGCCATAGGCCAGTCACCAGGAGATGGTAAGTTCTGTTCCACCTTAGCCATGAAAGCCGGCTGGGTGATTTTGGGCCAATCCTCAGGAGATGGTGAGTTCTAATCCTGTCTTAAGCATGAAAGCCAGCTGGGTGATTTTGGGCCAATCACCAAGAAACCTGAGTTGTTAATGTTAATTGAATGGAGATGTGATGCATTCCCCTTGAGTAGATCAAAATATGCACCAGGAAAGAAGACAACAAAGGCTTCCAAGATAGCCAAGAGTTTTGGCCTGACTAATAAAAGTATTTTGCCAAAGGGAGAACATCCCAGGGAAGGTAAGGAAGAAAGAAAGCATGCAGATATAGCTAGGCGTACTTTAAGATAACCTCCCTGCGATAAAAAAAAAAGATATTTTCCTCTATCCTCCCCCTCGCCTTGCCTTGATTTCACCTTTCTCCGTTTTCCTCTGATGTCCAGAAGGCGTTAAGACGTTTGTTATGAATTGACTCTTGTTTCACAATTGTCTTTGCTGGAATATCTCTCGTCACCCGATTTCCACACTTCATCCGTTTCTTGCAGCTAAGTAAGGTGAGAGGTGAATTTAGCAGTTCTGGACAAAAGCAGAGGAAATGAATTGCCCTGCCTGGGAAGGGGGCAGAGCGGGGATCTGATCCAGGGGCTTGCCATGCTGGTGCAGACATTGCGGGGATGAAGAAGGTAGGATGGAGCACCACTTGTCCTCCAAGCAGTTTCCAAAGATTGCAGGAGCTTCCATGGGGAATTGCAACCCCCTGGAATCAGGTGTAGCGTGCTAACAGGGTTAGTTCCTGGCTGAAAAAAAAGCTCCTTCATTCTCTTCTAGCACTTTGCGTCAGTGGGATGTAAGAGTGTTACTTCCAGCATTTTGTGCGGAGGAGAAAAATTGTGTGTATGCATGTGAGTATTGTGATTTTCATTATGTAATCCTTTGTCCAGTAGTCTGCTATGGTCAGTGTTTCTTAAACCTTTTTCTCGGAGGCTGCCTTCTTTTAAAAATTATGGAGGACCCCAAAACTGATTTGATTTCTATGGTTACATTTATTGGTATTGACCATATTAGAAATTCAAAATTGATGCCTTCGCTGCCACTACCATTTCTCCTGAATGTTGGACGGGATTTTGATGTGGAATTGTTATTCAACACAAGCTGGCAAATAATTATGATCTTGTGGACTGCTGACAGGGTCATAGGATTACATGTTTGAGAAACACTGTGCTAGGAAGGTCTAGTTTAGGTCTGGTCTTAATCTGAACCATCAGCTTGATTTGAATTGATTTGGAGAATGGAATCAAGTATTGATTTTGCTGCCTTTAATCCGAAATATCATGAGAAAACTAAACGGGAACTTTTCTCTCACCAAAATGTGTTCTGGTCACCACAGAAAAGATGTTGAGATTTTAGAGAGTGTGCAGAGAATATCAACAAAGATGATAAGAGGGATGGAGGCTAAAATGTATGAAGAACGGTTGCGGGAATTGGGTATATCTAGCCTAAGGAAGAGAAGGACCAGGGGTGACAGGATAGCAGTGTTCCAAAGAAGAGGGAGTCAAGCTAGTCTCCAAAGCACCTGAAGGCAGGACAAGAAGCAACGGATGGAAACTCATCAAGGAGAGAAGCAACCTAGAACTAAGGAGAAACTTCCTGACAGTGAGAACAATTAACCAGTGGAACCACCTGCCTCCAGAAGCGGTGAATGCTCCAACCCTGGAGGCTTTTAAGAAGAGATTGGACAGCTATTTGTCCAAAATGGTATAGGGTCTCCTACCTGAGCAAGGGGTTGGACTAGAAGACCTCTAAGGTCCCTTTCAGCTCTCTTATTCTATGTTGTATGGTTTAAAGGAGTTGTATGGACATAGCTGATATGAGGCACTTAATCCAGTTTTTCCAAGCTGATACTCATGAATGCCATGAAAAATACATCAGGTAAGTCTATTGTGAAAATTAACCATGACGAAATTTTAAGCTCTCGCTTATCCATGGGTGGTGCATATTTCGTGGTATTTTGGTTAACTATTCGAGGGTCTGCTTAGCCACAGATGGGTTTATATGTGAGTGTATACAGAACTTTTAAAAAGTATTACCCTATATACTCACAGCTAAGCCAAGGAACATATAAACAGGCATCCAAGTTGTCTTAGGGCACAATAATATTACCCTAGAGCTTTGCCACAATATATGAATACATCCATTATGGACTGGAGAGCTGGTGATTTGAGTTCCTACCAGACAGACTTTGTTCTGGCCACTAAATTCCATTCCCCACTTCCTTCTTTCAACAGTTAATCAGCTTTTTCAGTCTTGATTGAGTTGTTTGGGGATTTCCCCCCTTCCCTCAAGGATAGGTATTTTCCTTTCAGCATTATTTAAAAATTTATTGCTAATTTTGGGGTGCCCCCAAATCTTTTGACCTTTCCCTCTATCAGCTGAGTCAATAATTATTTTTATTATTATTATTATTTTGGCATTCTGGGAATTAACCTGCTTTTAGCCTGGAGCTGGATAGGCAGTGGGAGTCTTTCTCCATCTGAGTGATGATGGGAGATGTGGTCCAGACTTCCCAGAAGCCTCAATCAGTGTGAGCCATGAGCAAGCATGGGTTCAAAGCATCTGAAAGGCGTTTGATGGACTACCTCTGGGATACGGGAGAAGAACTCAAAAGCAAAGAAAACAAGGTAGAGATAGCTGCAGGGGCTGACAACGGCAGCCAGTAAAAGAATAACATACCAAACAGCATCCAGGTTAACATATTTTACAAGGATCGTAAGGAAAGAATGCCTTCCCCTAAGCTAACACACTTGCGAGACAAATATGCCACCGCTATCTCAAGATGTGCTTGCTTTAGAAAGAAATTGTCCAAATTTATAGGAAGGAGAGTTTCTGGATACTTCAGGAAAGGGAAATAAAATGCAAGAAAACCACCAAGCTCGGAGGGCATCAGGGACCCCACATTTCAACAATGAGCTACAAATATTTTCTTCTATCAATAACGCTGGAGTATATCTTTGTTCTCAAGATAGTCTTTCTTGTAACCAGGCATTTTGGACCTTTCCTACCTTCTGATATTCAATCTGCGTCCAGTAACAATCTACTTCACCAACTGGATGCAGGGAAGATCAAAGAAGATCCTTAAAACACAGTTTTGGAAGGAGCTAGTGAAGACACCAAATCATCCTACCTGTTCTGTACAGGAGTCCACACTGAGGCATCCCAGCCAGAGATGGTCTAGAGATGCTTAAACCCAACCAAGGGAGTCACCACCACTACTTACCATCCCTCTGAGATATACTACGGAGTTACGATCTAACAGGAACAGTCAGAAAACATGAGGCCAACTGAGAGTAGAATTCTGTAGCTCCACTGGGTTTCTAACACTGTTTATTCTTTTTTATTCCCATCCCTTGTTCCCTAGAGTTGAAGGCCATCAACCTCAAGTAGCTGGCCTCTCTGCTTGAGTTGGAAATGCACAGCTTCTGAAAGGTGATGGTGTTGGGTATGTCTACTCCAAAATATCTTTCTGGAATCATTGTTTTTGCTGTATTCACTACAGACATCTATGGAGATTCTCAGTCATCCAGGTCATGGTTGTCCCAAAGAACCAGGAAGCAACAGGACTTTCTTGTTTTTCTTTGAAGACATTTCACTTCTCATCCAAGAAGCTTCCTCAGCTCTGACTGGATGGTGGGGAATGGAAGGATTTATTCAATGACTCTCTAAAAGGATGCAAATGACCA